CCAGCTCCCCCAGAACCCTTCAGCCCCATCCTTTCATCTCACACCGTCCCTCAGCAAGGCAGTTGCAGCTCCCACAGCCCTGCCATTACAGTTGGAGCATCTCCAGATTCACTCTTCAGAGGACGAGTAGCCAACGAAGCCAACTGACTTCATGACTCCCGTGTTACAAATACATCCGCGCAGGACACGGGCCCCAAGAGCTGTCCCCAGCGCTTGCCTTGGCCTTAAAATACACTTAATGTAAAGAGCAACCCTCCCTCTTCCCAGGATGATTCACTGATCTGGTCCCAGCTCCTATGGCTGCACCGTTTTCCCTTTCCCTCCTGCCCCAAAGCACCTTGAGGAGGTCGAAGACGTCGTCTGCATCCAGGCGGTAGTCGCAGAGGCGGTGCAGGATCTCCACCCGGGTGCGCAGGGGCAGCTCCTGGAAGGTGGACTCCCTCAGGGGATTGGGTTTCCCTTCCTCCAGCTCCCAGCGGTAGTTGATGATGTCCTCCAGGTAGCTGTGAAACGTCTGGGATCTAACCAAGGAAACAAAAAGTCCCACACACTCACTGGAGTTTGCCGCGCCAGAAACACCTGGGCAACCAAGCAACTTGAACAAACACAACACAGACAGTTAACTCTTGAAGGAAAACCATGCCCTAGGACAGCTATGGTTTCTAAAACACAGCAATCTCATTATGTCACCATGGGATTTCACATGATACACACACAGCTTACAGGACGCTGTATTAATGTTATTTCCTTCCAACCTGAAAGAACCAGCTAAGCGTGATCTCACCTCAGCCCTATCCTCTTTCTATCCCAAGGGATAGTGTCTTCTTCTAGCACCAACATCCACCCTCCACTAAAATATGATGCCATCAAGCAGATGAGCCTGATCCCTTTCCACCTCTCCCCATTTCATGCAGACCCTCTTCTTCAGCTTTCTATTTGTTCCTCGCATCTGCCATTCTCAACTCCTGCTCCTCTCTCTGCCTCTTGGTTTCCACGGCTTGGTTCAGTGCCTTGAAACTTTCCATAGCTGATTGTCTCCTCCCGCTTTGCTACCGTGTGCTTCCCATACTCCTGTTGTAGCCCCTATTCCCTTCTCCCTCCCTCCCCAAACGTGCTGCCGCTTTCTGCCCATTCCTCCACCAGTGGCTCTGGCCATTAACCTGGCACAGCCTAGTTAATGCACATGGCTTGGACCTTGCCACACAACAGGGCTCATTCCCAGCGTGAGGGTACCTCCCCCAAACAGGGTTCAGCCCAGAGGACTCTCTCCTCTCTGGTCTCCCAGATGATTGAGCTGAACACTCAAGCTCTTCCTAAACACCGTTACTAAAACGATCTTTCTCATTTGCTAGCTGGGCCGCATTAAGTCCCCTGTGTGTTGCCAACAGTTCACCATATATTTAGACTGGAGATTAGGAGAGGGTTCTTCACTGTGAGGGTGGTGGAGCACTGGAACAGGTTGCCCAGGGAGGTGGTTGAGGCCCTTTCCCTGGAGATATTCAAGGAGAGGCTCGACGAGGCCCTGGGCAACCTGGTCTAGTTGGGGGTGTCCCTGCTGACTGCGGGGAGGTGGGACTAGATGACCTTTGGAGGTCCCTTCTGGCCTGGGCAATTCTATGATTCTATGATATATCCCAAGGAAACACACATTTCTCTTACCTTCATCTGGTATTGAGTGTAAATATCCCCATCTGACACACATTATACTGCTAGTGGAGTTCAAGGCTAAAAGAATTCCTGTCTATATTCTAAGGACACTGAAGTCCTTATTCTGACTGCGGAAAACTTCAGGGGAAGGAATGAAAAAGGGCTGGTGAGGCCATGTGTCCCTAAATATCAAACTTTCTTCAGATCTGTCCATGTCACTTTGAGTCCTGAGACTTGCCAGGCTCTCTCAGCCTGCTCGAGTTGTGTACCCTGAGCACAGCAAAGCAGGGGGACCCCCCCCATGCCCCAGCCATTCTTGCACACACGGGAAGTCCATATGCCGGCAAGAACACCACTGGGTACACATTCCCACCAGCTCTCAAAAAGGCAGCTCAACTTGATAGGTTTTTGGCACAAACGGATTACTCTATATGATTAATGGAACCGTGCCAATGCTACAGAATCCCATTTGCCTGAGAAATTGCTAACTATGACAAAAGCTATTATTTTTGAACAAAGAGATAGAGGAGTGCGATCCAACTGGAATAAGATTGTTAAAAGTCAACAAGAAGTTAGCTATTAGACAGGGGGCTTCACACGTTTGGTAAAGACGGGACTCCTTTGCAAGGACCATGACTGGATGGTGACTGCAAGAACGAAGGAACAGATGCCACAAGATTCCTCAAGCCACGTCCACCTGGCAGCATTCCCCTTCCTCCTCGAGTGGAGATAAGGTGATGCTACCACCCTGCAGATCACTCCCCACCAGCCTGCTTCGTTCTGACGTCAAATGCAAGCTGACCTCCCAGAGATAACTCCTCTCACCGGATGAGTTTTACCAGCTCTCTGGTTGTATTTAACAACAGATGCTTGAATGTACCTGGATCTAGTGCCTTCCGCAGCCTGGAGCTTGCTATTCTCTGCATGACACAAGCAAAGCATTGGTATTTCCAAGTGTCATTGCTTTGCCCCACTAATGTCAGCAATCAAACAAATGCAGCTTGAAACAGTCCGCCACACTCACAAAGTTCAGTCAACGTAATAAAGGGCTGTTTCAAGAAATTTCTGTGCTGTCTCAAGTACTAATTTTAGGGTAAAAACTACAGCTACTCTCCTTTTTTTTTTCTAAAAATATGAACTAATCAGTGCACAGCACACCTACCTGAAGTAGCTGTGCATTCCCACAGTGTCTTCCTCGTATACCTCAAGACCCAATCCAACCTCCAGCAAGGACTTCAACGTAGCAAGAAGAGCAATACTAGATGATCTTTATAGACTTTTTATCTTTAAGAGTGCTATTTGGTCGCACACAGATTAAATATTACATATTTACTGAAGCCATCAGCTTAAAGCAAAAAAAAAAAAAAAAGAGACAGATCTGACTCTAGCTTTCAAGGACAGAAAGAGTGATGAGAATATCTTCTGAAAGCAGGAAAGCCACACTGTATTTGGATGCTTAGTTCGTCATAGAAGGGGAACGACTATAAGCTCTGAGAGAAAGTCCCAGTTTCAGCCTCCTGAGTTCAGTTGTTCAATTCTGTCAGAGCTCAAGGCAGAAGATTATTTCATCAGAACCGGTACAGAGGCTCTGCCTATTTCCAATAAAATTGGCTGAAAAAACAGTTTCCCTAGGATCCTGAAAAACTAGCAGGTGACATGGGATTCCAGGAAGAAGCAACAAAAGTAACAGGATTTTATCTGCTCCTATTTTTGTGGCTAAATTTTTCTCTAACAAAAAAAAAAAGAAAAAAGGGAAAAGCAGAGATCAGACAGATACTTTTACTGCTTGCATGACTTCACTTATCTTGCTCTACCATTTTGACTGCTCTCAAAGAAAACTGATCCAGGAAGCCCCTCAATTCCAGAAGATCATCTGAAATCTTTGCCTATGTAACTCTCATTCCCCCTGGGGACTGGCTCTGTTGACTTAACCAATTTGGTTTGAGTTTGACTTTCACATAAGTGGCTAACACCAGAAATTTCCGCCATCCACCCAGTGTTCGATACATTACAAGCTCTGTTCTCAAGAGTACTTTGAGTTCCTACCCCCATCAATTTTCAAAGACAGCTACTGTGCATTTGTCGCTTTGAATAAGGATAGAAATGAGAACCAGAGATGGGAACCAGATGTCTCCAGGCATTCCCAATCACTCTCAATCTTACCCAATTTATATTTTCCCTCTTTGTGGAGGCTGGCCTCTTTTCTCCAGACAAATGTGGGGTGCTCGTCTTCAACCTGTCTGCCACACCTACGGTTAGTCCGACTTAGCCCGTCTCTAATAAGTTTCCCTTTGAAAAAGGTTTCTGAAACAGCCCCCTTGGTTTGGAGAAGAAAATCTGCAGGCAGAACAGCAATCTGCAAGAACCCTGCCCTTGGGGTTCTTCCCCACACAAAGCAGAAACACTCAGGACTAACTGTTTAGCTAACAGTTACTTGGAGCTAACTAACTTACTACCCGTAAAATTCAAAACCAAGAATCAGATAGGGTCTAGGAGTGGAATGACCTGGATGCAGTCTGTCAAACACCCTTTTTTCAAGCTCACTATTAGGACAGGGATACACCTGCAGGTGTAGCAAGTCCTATAGAGTCTCTGCTGCAATCGAGAACCTCCAAAAACCCTTTTGGAGGTGAGAAGGTGGTAGGGAGAAGATCACTGAGCCGAAGAGAGAGACGTATCTCTTCTGAGCTTCTCAGCACCACTGAGACTTGTAAAAACACTCAACCAATGGAGGCAATATTAGGTCAGCAATGTCCTTTCTCACAAATTGAAATATTCCCAAAGAGGATGAACCGGTACATGGACACATCTTGACTCAGGGCACGTATCCAAAGGAAAATAAACTCTCTCCTGAAAGTAAATTGGGGCTCCTAGAAACAATTTATAACAAAATGTGAGGCCATGGGCCACAACTGTCACTACATCTCAACCACTTTTACCTCCCCCTGCCACACAGCACAAGCATTTTCCATACAGCTCATTAACCAAGGAAAAGTATTACAGAAATCATCTACAAGAGGTCAGAAAAGTTACCTTAGAGTAACTCTCTAACTGTAAAACTTCATCCTTCCCACCGACTGTCCTATTTCCTACCCCAACTTCACTAGCACCATTAATATTTCAGACAAATGAGACAGAGTTTCCCTCGCTTGTCACAACATCCCTTACTTGGCAGTTGCCACCTGATGGGCAAAGCGATTTGGGAAGCTGTGGTGGGGAAGCAGTGGATCAGTACATGTGTTATCTCTGTGATGAATCCCAAACCGATGCAGGTGACTTCTCGTGAGCCCAGTGCAATTCTTCGTCTCGCCCCTGGCTCTGCCCTGAAACCACAGGGTCGTTGTTAGAGGTCCCTACCTTTTTTTGCAGTGTTTAGAAAAGAGTTCAAAGCCTGTGCCTGTGGTTGAAAGTTTTAGTCATACATTGTGGACCTCTATATATACAGAAGGAGATCTGGGGGCCGGGGAAGGATGCGACCTAGCGCGTCAGTGTCAAAGGGGAGGAATAGTGGCAGACGATCCACAAGAGTACCAGCGAGGTTGCAGCTCAAGTTGCCTGTGATCTTTAGTAGCAGCTGCAAAGAAATCTGGGCATAAAAGAAGACGGGAGCAAGTCAAAGGAAGGGGCTCCTCCCCAACACGGGTATCAGCATCCAGAACAGCCAGAGAAACGATACACCCCCTGAGAGCTCAGCGCCGCAGCCCGGCCATCTGCCACCCGGCTGCCTCCCAAAGAGGGAGGTTTCTCTCTGCTCCAGGAGAGGGGATCCGAGGACTCCTCCCCCCATCCTGGCAATCCCAATTCGGCAGCCTGTCTCCGTTGTGGCTTCCCCTGCTCCCAAAAGAGGCACCTTTCCCATCTCCTGGGCTTTTAA